TTTTTGTCCCATTTTTGCCCCATTTTTTGCCAATTTTTTTGCCATTTTTATGCACTTTTTGGCCAATTTTTTTGCCATTTTTACCCCATTTTTGCCCATTTTTTGCCCCCTTTTTTACAATTTTTTTCCTTCTTTTTTCCTTTTTTTTTTTGCCATTTTTGGCTCTTTTTTTACCTGTTTTTTTCCCATTTTTGTCCCTTTTTTTGCCCATTTTTTGCCCGTTTTTTGCCATTTTTGCCCTGGTTTTTTTTCCCATTTTTTTGCCCGTTTTTTGCCATTTTGGTCCTATTTTTGGACAATATCTTTGCCATTTTGGTCCCACTTTTTGCCAATTTTTTTTGCCATTTTTGCTGCGTTTTTGCCCCATTTTTTGCCCCTTTTTTGCCATGTTTGTCTCGTTTTTTGCCCATTTTTTTGCCATTTTTTGCCATTTTGGTCACATTTTTTGCCATTTTTTTCCATTTTTGCCATTTTTGCCCCTTTTTTATGCCATTTTTGCCCCTTTTTTTGCCAATTATTCTGCCATTTTTGTGCCCTTTTTTCCTATTTCTGCCCCATTTTTTGCCATTTCTGCCCCATTTTTTGCCAATTTTGTTGCCATTTTTGTCCCTTTTTTGCCATTTCTGCCTCATTTTTGTCCCATTTCTTGTCCATTTTTTGCCAATTATTTTGCCATTTTTGTCCCTTTTTTTGCCATTTTTGCCCTGGTTTTTTCCCATTTTTTTTCCCATTTTTGCCCTGTTTTTTTCCCTTTTTTTTTTCCCATTTTTTGCCGTTTTCGTCCCATTTTTCCCCCATTTTTCGTCCCATTTTTTTGCCCATTTTTTTACCATTTTTCCCCCATTTTTTTACCATTTTCCCCCATTTTTCCCCCATTTTTCCTGATTTCCCCGTTTTTCGCCCCGATTTTGCCCGCAGGTGCCTCCCGGGCTCTCTTGGCTCCCTGGAGCTCTCGGCCAATCCCGGCCTCGGGCCCGGAACCTTCCGGAAGCTGCGGCCGGGCCTGGGCAGCCTCCGCATGCACGGTACGGCTTTGGGGCAAAAAACGGCGATTTCGGGCAAAATGGGGAAATTCGGGACTGAACGAGAGAAAAATTCAGGAATTTCGCGGGGAAATTTGGGGGGAAATTGGGAATTTTTAGGGGAAAACATCGGGAGTTTTGGGGGGAAATTGGGGGGGAAAAGGGAATTTTGGGGCAAAAAACAGCGATTTCAGGCAAAATGGGGAAATTTGGGACTGAACGAGAGAAAAATTCAGGAATTTCGCGGGGAAATTTGGGGGGAAATTGGGAATTTTTAGGGGAAAACATCGGGAATTTTGGGGGGAAATTGGGGGGGAAAGGGAATTTTGGGGCAAAAAACGGCGATTTCGGGCAAAATGGGGAAATTCGGGACTGAACGAGAGAAAAATTCAGGATTTTCAGGGGAAAATTTGGGGGGAAATTGGGAATTTTTAGGGGAAAATTGGGGGGGAAACATTGGGAATTTTGGGGGAAAATAGGAGGTTAAAATAGGGAATTTTGGGGCAAAAATCAGGGATTTCAGGAAAAATTGGGAAATATGGGACAAAATAAGTGAAAAATTCAGGAATTTTGGGGGGGAAAAAATGGGAAAAATTTGGGGGGAAGAATGGGAATTTTTAGGGAAAAATTGGGGAAAACATTGGGAATTTTGGGGGGATATTGGGGGAAACATCGGGAATTTTGGGGCAAAAATCAGGGATTTTTGGAAAAATCTGGAATTTCGGGAAAAATTGGGACATTTGGAACAAAATAAGTGAAAAATTCAGGAATTTGGGCAAAGATTGGGAATATTGGGGGGAAATCTGGGAAGAAATTGGGAATTTTGGAGAAAATGGGGTAAAAAAAGGGAATTTTGGGGCAACAATCAGGGATTTCAGGAAAAATTGGGAAATTTGGGACAAAATAAGTGAAAAATTCAGGAATTTCAGGGGAAAATTTGGGGGGAAATTGGGAATTTTTGGGGGAAATTTGGTGAAAACATCAGGAATTTTGGGAGGAAATTGGGGGGAAATTGGGAAAAATTGAGAATTGTGGGAAAATTGGGAATTTTGGAGAAAATCGGGTTAAAAAGGGAATTTTGGGGACAAATCAGGGATTTTGGGAAAAATGGGGAATTTCAAGAAAAATTGTGAAATTTGGGACAAAACGAGAAAAATTCAGGAATTTCGGGGAAAATTTTGGGGGGTAGATGGGGAATTTTTAGGGGAAAATTGGGGGAAAACATTGGGAATTTTGGCGGGAAATTGGGGGGAAAAAAGGGAATTTTGGGGACAAATCAGGGATTTTGGGGAAAAAATTGGGGAATTTGGAAGGGAAATTGAGGGGAAAATTGGGGATTTTGGGAAAAAAAATGGGAATTTTGGAAAAATTGGGGAAAAATTTGGGAATTGAGGGGGAAAAGGGATTTTGGAGAAAACTGGGGGGGAAATGGGAATTGGGGAAAAAATGGGGCGGAAATTGGGGGAAAAAATGGGAATTTGGGGGAAAAAAGGGAATTTTGGAAGGGAAATTGGGGGGAATGAGAATTATAGAAAAAATGGGAATTTTGCACAAAATTGGGAATTTTGGGGGGAAATTGGGGAATTTTGAAAAAAATGGGAATTTGGGGAGAAAAGCCAGGATTTGGGAGGAAAATCAGGAAAAAAAAGGAATTTGGGGGAAAATTGGGGATTTTGGGGGAAAATTTTGGGTTTTGGGAAAAATTGGGGATTTGGGGGGAAATCAGGAATTTGGGGAAAAAATTGGGGGGAAAATAGGAATTTGATGGAAAATTGGGGAAAAAATTCGGAAATGGGGAGGGAAGGGAATTTTGGTGGAAAATTGGGGGGAAAATGGGAGTTTTGGAAAAAAAAAAGGAATTCTGCAAAAAATTGGGAATTTGGGAAAAAATGGGAATTTGGGTGGAAAATTTGGAGATTTTGGGGGGAAATTGGGGAGTTTGGGGCAAAAAATGGGAATTTTGGGGGGAAAGAATTGGAAATTTAGGGGGAAATCGGGGAAAAAATGGGAATTTTGGGAAATATCGGGGAAAATTTGGGGATTCTGGGGGGTTTGCAGGGAAAATGGGGGGAAAAATTGGGAAAAAATGGGAATTTTGGGGGGAAATTGGGTATTTTTATGGAAATTGGGAATTCTGGGGGGAAATCGGGGGAAAAATGGGGATTTTGGGGCAAAAAATTGGGGTTTTGGAGAAAATTGGGAGTTTTGGGTGAAAAATGGGGGAAAATTGGGAATTTTGGGGGAAAGTTTGGGGATTTTTGGGAAAACTAGGATTTTGAAGAAAAATTTTGGAAAAACCGCAGGATTTTGGGAAAAAACTTGGGAATTTTTGGGGAGAATTTGGAATTTGGGGGGAATTTCAGGGAGTTTGGAAGGAAAAATTGAAAATCAGGTGGAAAAAATCTGGAATTTCAGTGAAAATCAGGTGGAAAAAATCTGGAATTTCAGGGAGGGGGAAAAAATCAGAATTTTGGGGGGAAATTGGGGAAAAAATAGGGAATTTTGGGGAAAAAATGGGAATTTGGGGGGGAAATTGGAGATTTTGTGGGAAAATTGGGAATTCTGTGAGTAAAATTGGGGGAAAATTGGGAATTAAAAAAAAATGGGAATTATGGGGCGAAATTGGAGATTTGGGGGATAAATTGGGCAGTTTGGGGGGAAAATTTGGGAATTTTGGCAAAAATTTGGAAATTTGAGGGGATATTGGGGAAAAAAATGGGAATTTTGAGCGAAAATTGGGGATTTGGGGGGAAATTTTGGGAATTTTTAGGGAAAAATGGGAATTTTGGGGGGAAATCGGGAGAAAATTGGGAATTTTAGGGGAAAAATGGGAATTTTGGAGTGGGAAAATGGGAATTTTTGGGAAAATGGGAATTTTGGGGGGGAAAAATGGGAATTTTGGGGAAAATTTTGGGAATAACTCCCCCAAATTTTGGGGAATGACGTCATCAATGTCCCCTCCCCCACCCTGTGGGTTCCCGACCTTCCCAAAATTCCCAAAATTCCCAAAATTTTGTCAGGATGCGGCGTCGGGGACCTGGACGGAGCCACCTGGAGCCGGGAGAAAATCCAGGAATTGCCCTGAGCCAAACTGGTCTGGACTGGTTTGGACTGGTTTAAACTGGTCTGGACTGGGAGGTTCCCAGTTGGATCCAATAAATCCCAGTTTGATCCCGGATTTTGCTGATTTTTGGGATTTGGGGACTGGTCTGGACTGGTTTGGACTGGTCTGGACTGGTTTGGACTGGTCTGGACTGGTTTGGACTGGTTTGGACTGGTTTGGACTGGTTTGGACTGGTTTGGATTGGTCTGGACTGGTTTGGACTGGTCTGGACTGGTTTTTACTGGTCTGGACTGGTTTTTACTGGTCTGGACTGGTTTGGACTGGTTTGGACTGGTTTGGACTGGTCTGGACTGGGAATGGCTCCCATTAACAAGAGAAAAAAACCGGAATTTTTCCCGGATTTTGGGGATTTTCCTCCTCCCGTTTATTATCCCAAACTCCTGGTGGATCCAGTCTGGACTGGTCTGAACCGGTCTGAACCGGTTTGAACTGGTTTGACTGGTCTGAACTGGTTTTTACTGGGACTGGCTGCCAGTTTGTTGCACAAATGACGAGAAAAAAATGGAATTTTTCCCAGATTTTGGGGATTTTTGGGATTTTTCTCCTCCCGTTTATTATCCCAAACTCCTGGTTGGACCGGTTCAGACCGGTTTGGACTGGTCTGAACTGGTTTTTACTGGGACTGGCTCCCAATTTGATGCACAAATGATGAGAAAAGAGCGGAATTCCTCCCGGATTTTGGGGATTTTTGGGATTTGGCTCCTCCCGTTTATTATCCCAAACTCCTGGTGGATCCAGTCTGGACTGGTCTGAACCGGTTTGAACCGGTTTGAACTGGTTTGGACTGGTTTTTACTGGGACAGGCTCCCAGTTTGATGCACAAATGAGGAGAAAAGAGCGGAATTCCTCCCGGATTTTGGGGATTTTTGGGATTTGGCTCCTCCCGTTTATTATCCCAAACTCCTGGTTGGACCGGTTCAGACCGGTTTGGACTGGTCTGGACTGGTTTTTACTGGGACTGGCTCCCAGTTTGATGCACAAATGAGGAGAAAAGAGCGGAATTCCTCCCGGATTTTGGGGATTTTTGGGATTTTCCTCCTCCCGTTTATTATCCCAAACTCCTGGTTGGACCGGTCCGGACCGGTTTGGGCCGGTTTGGGCCGGTTCGGGCCGGTTCGGGCCGGTCTGGGCCGGTCTCAGGCGTGCAGGAAGCGGTTGAAGGCGTTGTAGGCGGACTCGAGGTCGAAGAGCATCTGCCGGACCTGGGCGTCGTCCAGCTCGTCCGCGGCCGACATCGCGCTCAGCGTCTGCAGCCTGGGGCGACAAAAATATTCCAAAATGGTCCCAAAATATTCCCCAAAAATTCCCAAAATATTCCCCAAAAATTCCCAAAAAAATCCCCCAAAAAATCCCCGAGAAATTCCCAAAATTCCGCTCCCAAATCCTCCAATCCCAAAATCCCAAACTGCCCCGAGGCCGACGTCGCGCTCAGCGTCGGCAGCCTGGGGCACCCAAAATATTCCCAAAAAAATCCCAAAATAGTCCCAAAATTCCCCAAAAAAACCCAAAAAATCCCCCAAAAATCCCAAAAAATCCCAAAACCCCTCAAAATTCCTCAAACATCCCAAAAATCCCGGAAAAATCCCCAAAATAACCCAAAATTCCCCAAAATTCCCCCAAAAATCTTCAAAATTCCTAAAAAATCCCAAAAAAATCCCCAAAATTTCCAAAAACCCCCAAAAAATCCCCCCAAAATTAAAAAAATCCCCCAAAATTCCCAAATTTCCCCAAACACCCAAATAAATCCCTGAAATTCCCCAAAAATCCCCAGAATTCCCAAAAAATCCCCAAAAATCCTCAAAATCCAAAAAAAATCCCCACAAATCCCCAAAAATCCCCAAATCTCCCCCCAAAATCCCCAAAATATTCCCAAATTCTCCCCAAATGTTCCCAAACTCCCAAATTCTCCCAAAATTCCCCAAAATTCTCCAAATTCCCCCCAAAAGCCCCAAATAAATCCCTGAAATTCCCCAAAAAATCCCCCAAAATTCCCAAAAAATCCTCAAAAAATCCCCCAAAAAATTCTGCAATTCCCTCCAAAACCCCAAAATCCCCCCAAAAATCCCCAAAATTCCCAAAAAATCCCCAAAAAATCCCTGAGAAATTCCCAAAATTCCGCTCCCAAATCCCCCAATCCCAAAATCCCAAACTCGTCCTGCTCAGCCTCTGCAGCCTGGGGGATTCCCAAAATATTCCCGAAATGTTCCCGAAATTCCTAAAACATTTCCCAAAAATATTCTCAAAATATTCCCGAAATTCGCCAAAAAATTCCCCAAAAAATCGCAAAAAAATCCCCAAAAATTCCCAAAATCCCCACAAAATTCCTAAAAAATCCCTAAAATTCCCCCAAAAAATTTCCTAAAAAATCCCCAAAATTCCCAAAAAAATCTACAAAGAATCACAAAAAAATCCCCAAAAAATCCCCATAAAATCCACAAAAAATCCCAAAAAAATCCCCATAAAAGCCCCAAAAATCCCCCAAATTCTCCCGAAATTCTCTCCAAATGTTCCCAAATTCTCCCCAGATGTTCCCAAAATTCCCAAAAATTCCCAAAATTCCCGTCCTGGCTCACCATTGGTTGACTTTGAGGCGCCCCTCGAAGTCGGGGGGCAGGGAGCTCATCCGGGTCATCGTCTCCAGCAGCTCCCGCAGGTCCGGCTGGATCTGGAAATTCGGGAATTTTTGGGAATTTTGGGAATTTTTAGGAATTTCGGGGGAATTTTGGGGGAGTTTTGGAGGGGTTTTGGGGGGGTTTAGGCCAATTTTTGGGGGTTAGAAAGCAAATTTTTGGGGATTTTTAGAAGGTTTTTTTGAATTTTTGGGGATTTTTGGGAATTTTTTGGGAATTTTTTGGGGAATTTTTTGGGGAGTTTTGGGATTTTTTTTTCTGGAGATTTTTGGGGAATTTTTGAGGAATTTTGGGGGAGTTTTGGGAAGTTTTTCTGGAGAATATTTGGGGGAATTTGGGGAATTTTTGGGGGACTTTTTGGGAATTTTTTGGAATGTTTAAGGACTGGAATTGGGGGGTTTTGGGAGGGGAATTTTGGGAATTTTCGGATGCTTTTCTGGAGATTTTTGGGGAATTTTTGGGGATTTTTTGGGAATTTTGGGGGAGGTTTGCAAAGTGTTTCTGGAGAATTTTTGGGGAATTTTGGGGGGACTTTCTGGGAATTTTTTGGAATTTTTAAGGACTGGATTTGGGGGATTTTGGGAGTGGAATTTTGGGGGAAATTTTGGGAATTTTGGGGCAGGGAGCTCATCCGGGTCATCGTCTCCAGCAGCTCCCGCAGGTCCGGCTGGATCTGGAAATTCGGGAATTTTTGGGAATTTGGGGAATTTTGGGGGAGTTTTGGAGGGGTTTTGGGGGGTTTTAGGCCAATTTTTGGGGGTTAGAAAGCAAATTTTTGGGGATTTTTAGAGATTTTTTTTTGATTTGGGGGGATTTTTTGGGAATGTTTTGGGAATTTGGGGAATTTTGGGGAGATTTAGGGGAATTTTGGGGGTGTTTTGGGATTTTTTTCTGGAGATTTTTGGGGAATTTTTGGGAATTTTGGGAGAGGTTTGAGATGTTTTTCTGGAGAATTTTTGGGGGATTTTCAGGAATTTTGGGGGGAAATTTTGGTAATTTTGGGGGGAAATTTGGGGGGAATTTGGGGAACTTTTGGGGGGAAATTTTGGGAATTTTTGGGGGAGTTTTGGGGGGAAATTTTGGGAATTTTTGGAGGGATTTTTGGGAATGGAAATGGGGTTTTTTTTGGGAATTTTTGGAGCTGGAATTGGGGGATTTTTGGGGATTTTTGGGAATGGAAATGGGGTTTTTTTGGGATTGGATTTTGGGGAATTTTGGGAATGGAAATGGGGGATTTTTGGGACCGGATTTTGGGGATTTTTGGGGGATTTTTGGGATCCCCACCTCGTCCATGGCGCGGATCTCCAGGCGCAGTTTGTCCATCACGGTGATGAAAAGCTGCCAAAATTCCAACGGAAATTCGGGATCAGCCCCAGCCCCAAACCCCCCAAAATCCCCCCAAAAAATCCCTAAAAAATAACAAAATACCCCCAAAAAATACCCAAAAAAATAACAAAACATCCCCAAAAATTACCTTAAAAAATAACAAAATACCCCCAAAAAAATTCCCTTAAAAATTAACAAAAAATCCCAAAAATCCCCCCAAAATCCCTTTAAAATAACGAAACACCCCCCCAAAAAAAAACCAACAAAAATCCCTTAAAAAATAACAAAATACCCCCCAAAAATCAAAAAAAAATCCCTTAAAAATAACAAAATACCTCCCAAAATATTCCCAAAAAATCCCTTAAAAATAACAAAATACCCCGAAAAAATCCCTTAAAAATAACAAAATACGCCCCAAAAAATCCCTTAAAAATAACAAAACGTTCCCCAAAAACTCCCAAAAAAAACCTTTAAAAAATAATGAAATCCCCCCAAAAATCCCTTAAAAAGCAACAAAATAGCCCCAAAAATTTCCACAAAAAAATTTCCACAAAAATCACCAAAAAATTCCCAAAAAAATACCCAAAAAAACCTCAAAAAAATATAAAACTCACCAAAAAAATCCCATAAAAACACCCAAAAATTACAAAAAGAAATCACCAAAAAATCCCATAAAAATACTCAAAAAAGTACAAAAATTTTTTAAAAATCCACAAAAAATGCAAAAAAAAATTCACGAAAAATCACCAAAAAATCACAAAAAAAATGCAAAAAAAAATTCCCATCAAAATATCCAAAAAAATCACCAAAAAAATTTTAAAAATCACGAAAAAATCCCATAAAAACACCCCAAAAAATCACCTAAAAAAATCACCAAAAAATCACCAAAAAATCAGAACAAGATGCCCAAAAATCCCAAAATAATCACAAAAATTGAAAAAAAAATTTCTCCAAAAACAGGAAAAAAAAATCACAAAAAATAACAGAAGTGTTTTTAAATATTCACCAAAAAATAATTTTAAAATGCAAAGAAATCATCCAAAATCACAGAAAAAATTCAAAAAAAAACCATCACAAACAATTCCCATAAAATAACAAATAATTACCAAAAAAATGACCAAAAAGTCCCAAAAAAGTCGCATAAAAATATGCCAATAATTACCAAAAAAATCACAAAAATTCCCATTAAAATACCCAAAAAACCTCAAAAAAAAATCAC